AAACAGTTGTTCTTTCAAGATATGTTGAATGTTTATCGCGATAATACGATTAAGTTCGGTTAGGTTAGGTTAAATTAGGTTTAAAAGAAAAAACATTTTCCTCTCAAAATTACTTTCGAGGTTATGAAATTTCGATCAAACGTTATTTCTGGAAAATGTCATTTCGGACCACTGATAGGTAACCCCGATGGGCCGAGGCTATGTTTGATGGACACCTGTTCAATTGTTTAAAGATCATCAACCCATTTTTCAGTTAATGTAGGGATCTCAGTCATACTATGAATATTTATTTTTAACCGACTTCAAAAAAGTAGGAGGTTCTCAATTCGACTGTATGTTCTTTTTTTTTATATGTATGTTACGCGATAACTCCGGTATTTGTGAACCGATTTTCATGATTCTTTTTTTGTTGGAAAGGGGGTACTTCCATAGTGGTACCATTTCATTTTGAAGAAAATCATCCACCTCAAAGGGTGGCTGTTCACGCATGAAGATTCATTTTTATAAATAGCGCCTTACTTTAATTTAGGAGCAATTACTTTTAGCAATTATTTAGTTGATTTTGCCATTTCTCCAATTCAAGGCGTTTTTCTCTCGATATACTTTGAGTAGTGTCGTAGTGAGAACCTATTTTTATTATATCCAGTATCAAGTCCTGTATAGTGGCGAACTAGGGGATATTTCAATGAAACTTAGCAAATAGACGTAATTTCACGTACTTTTGAGGTCGGTTTTTTTAGTACTCTGTACTGAGATTATACTTCCACTGTCCGATGGAGAGGGACACACAGCGCGAAATATTGCTATTCTTGCATAGAGATCTTGCGCTTTATTTCGCTCTCACGATGCGCTGCTCTCACGCAAGCCGCGCCGTGTCGTGCTTGCCCTACTGAAGCTGCAATCAGAACCCCGATTCAGAGCTCTTCGATATTTTAACCGAATCGTTCGACTGGATATCGTTCTCGAATCGAAGGGCGCTTTCCGAGCCATTCAGGACATTCCGAGTTAAACGTTTGATTCGAATTCGATATCATTATCCAACAGCGTTTACGGAGTTAGTCGATGAAATAGATTATAAGAAAAATGAAAATCCTTTTAAGTCTTGCATTAAAATAAATTAATAAAATTGAAGAAAATCCAGACTTTATTTGAAATAACAAGAGATTTCCATATTATATTCTTGCTTTGTAAATATTAGGACGTTCGGTAACTTTCATTCGACAACTACATTCTGAATAACGTTTTTAGCCTTTGCCGGTCGAGAAGTTCTAGTAATCGAACGGGTGTGACATTATTTTTTTTACCGTTTTGAGACTTCTCAACTCGTCAAGTAATTACATCCTGGACAACCATCGGCGAGTACCTTACGCCGAATGACAAACCCTTTCTCCACGATGGCAAGCATTATAATGTATCTTATCGATACGATAAGAAGAACAGTCATTACAAGCGGTCTCGACTTGTTAGCTTACAGGTAGTGACTTAATGACTTTTTTTTTAATTCTTAATGAATAATGAGTTATGAATTTCAACCGCGAATTTTAAATCGAATGTGTGACAACAGCGTGCGACGAAAAAAGATTAAAAGAAGATTGCGCTAAAATAGAACTAGCAGGGCGGTCTGACGGCGGCTGTTTTTAAACCATCTCTATTTATTTTCCTCTAGTGTGTTATAATCAAGAGAAAAATTATTCCTATCTCGAGCGTTATATTGGATTCTAGCGTAGAATCCTTCGTACCGCCTCCTTGGAATCAATAGCGGACTTTCGCGGTAAATAACTATTTTGTTCTTAGGTTTTCGCGATTGTTACACATAGGAAATGAAACTATTTTTCCGGATTTAAATCGCGTATATTTGTTTTTTTAAACAAACCGACGTTTCAGGCCCTTTACAGGTCGTCGCGTAAACAAGTCTGCAGTCTGCGAGCATATCATGGATAAACCTACACATTCAATGAAGTTTGACAAACCCCAAGCCCTTGCAAAAGAAGTCCGTTATCTGCCTAGGATGCTGCGAGAGGCCATTGAAATTAAAAAACATCCTAATTTCAACAGGGAAGATGGTTTCTCCGTACCACCAGTTTGGGATCCAGTATTTCCTCTAATGAAAAATCCCAAACAGACATAAGACTGCAGTACTAATTAATATATTTTAGTTTGTTCTAATTTCTATTAATAATAAATTGAACTTAATAAAAATTCATGCAATAAAATAATTTGTAAAACTTAATGTAGCGTAAATTGGAATGTTTTCTTTGTAAAATTAAAAATAAGGTATTTAATTAATAACTATTGTAACTATAGTGGAAAAAATAGGGTGTTGCAGCAATATTAGACATAACTGGTTGAAGACTGTACCACCTCAGTCAACCGTGATCATGGGACCTGTAAAGGGCCCGAAACGTCGGTTTGTTTGAAAAAACAAATATACGCGATTTAAATCCGGAAAAATAGTTTCATTTCCTATAACTATTCTAGAGTTCTTGTTTCTTTCGCTTTGTATGTTCTCAATGTTGGTACCACTATCCATCATTTCAGATACTATCAGCTATATAGTTTATAGCCTAGCTTTAGCGAAATAAGAATGCAGAAGGATCGGTCCACAAGATTTGTTGTAAGAAATGTTAAAAGAGGAAAAGATAAGGTTGTAACAAATAAAATGCTATGAAGAAAACGTACAATTATTATAAGACACTTCCTATAAAAGTAACTAACACAATACTCACCCAAAAGGGCCTACTCGGGCTTACTTATACAACTTTTTTTTAATAGTAATCGACGTGAAGTTTAACAAAATAGACACGGGCATGGGCATGGACATTTATGGGCACGTCCTCGCGTTTCAAGAATTTTGATGACGACGGATAGAACAAACGTTAGAATAGTGAAGCAAAAGGAATTCAAGAACGAAAGAGAATGACAAAAAGGTGGAATGACTGTGAAGGAGGCCAGCATCAGGTATTTAGACATTAATGAAAGGAGCTGTAAGTGGTAGGACCAATTAGGGGAATGCACGTTCCTAAAATAGTAAGGGTACTCCCTTATTTGAGGCTCCAGATAATTAGCGTGGTTGTCTGCCAAATTATTAATAATAATATTAATAAGCATTTATTTCGGAATATTTTCCACAGTGTTAGTAACAAGTTCTCTTCGGACTCGTATTATTAGGCCTGAAAATGAAATAAAATGAAAGTGTAGAGCTGCACCCAATGTTGTAAAATCAGGATGTCCCACCGGTCTATGAACACACTTAGGAGTCCGTTGGTGCTACCGCTGACGCTAACTAGCATGGAGGCGCAGCGTCTTCTCATTATATGATGGAAGTCACCAGCGTGCGCCTCCGCAGACATCCCCGAAGCACTGCAACGCCACGGCAGCCCCAACAGAACTGAATGCGTTGTTATACTACATATTATTATTAGTACGGGTGACGACTGAGGAAACCAATCCCCCTAGACGGAACGTAACGGAAGTATGGGAATACACCGTTCTAAATAGGAAGCGACTCTGTGTGAAACCGCTGTCGTACATTACTATACTATACTAGCAATGAGCGATCTAAAGCGCAGTTCCAACTAAATAAAGAAGCAGTACTAGATGCGCCATAATGCAGAATGTGGGTTCCCATTAAAGTTCGAATCGTCATTCTTCGAGGGACAATCATAACACCGTGATGCAGAATTTGCTATATCGACGCTAATGTCAGCTAGCGGTGCGCGACGGAACTAATTTGTAGCACAATATGTGATTTTGTTACACTAATGAATATTTGGAAAATTTCGTTCATCGATTAGTGTGTGAGAATTTTGCAAAAGTCGCACAATCAAAGTTATTTGTATAAACGGCAACGCCGTGTTTAGAAGTTAGCGGTAATAAAAACTTGCCTTGTTTATTTATGTTCTAGAAACACGAAAACTTATGACAATGAGAAGCGCTACGCAGTCTGAATTAGAAATTAGTGATAATAATATTTTAACCTTCTATAATTAAATCTATGGATCCATTTCGTTCCGAATCCGAGACTATACAAATCTAGAAACCTCGGACTCACTTCGAATATCGCTTATACACCTAGAGATAAAATATCACCGTCATGGAAGCATAGCATAAGTGGAGTTACGTCAAACATGTTTGACATAACATTGCTCCATTAGATACAGAAAAATATAACCGACATCCTCTCCAATTCTTGGAACTCTATCTACAATATTAGTCGATAGAGTTACAACTTATTTTTAAGTCAAATTACTCCTTTTGCACATCAATAGCAATAATTTTCTTTTAATATTAGATACAATAATGAATTATACCATTTTGAAATCTACTTTAAACACACATTATTTTAGAATCGTTGACCACTCAGGTTATCATATTTTTTTTTATATCCAAGATGCCTTAAACTTTATGAAAAAAAGAATTTGCACTGAAAAATAAAATAAAACTTTTTTAAAATTTAAGTGCCATAGTTAGTCGTACTGTTTACTGCTTATCTATTAGCACAGTTAATGTAGAATATTATGACACCAAAAAACCAAAGGACTTTAACTTGTAGACGTGTTGTAAAAACGTAAAATAAGGTGAAAATAATTAAATTTAAAGGAAAAAAGTTATATGTTAGGTTAAGTTATATCATGGGATATATTTTTCTTTATATTTTTTTGAACGTTCGTAAGCTCTAATATAAGGCATTTCAGGCTTATCCACTGTTTACCGGACACCCTGTATATAACGATACATTTATAAATAAAAAAACATGAGTGTGACACAGAAAGATATTTTAAATATTTTAAACACTGACCGAACGCTTTAATTATGAAAGGCGAGTGCGTCCATCCGCGCTTTGCAACTCGAGTACATCGCGAGATTGTGCGAATGTGTGCGTGCGTATGTACATGGAGCGCGTTAGGCGTGCACACATACAAAGCCGCGCCGCTATGTATGCATGCGTGTTTGTATGTACTTACATTACTTGTCTTATTTATATTATGATTTTGACTTACCTTTTCGCCGCAGTTATCTGGTAGCAACAGAGACCCATGTCCAGATTTGCCCGGGCAGATTACGTTAACGTCTGAAACAAAAGTTTAAATTCATTGAAATGTCATGACAACCTTTAACTCTTACAGGATTTAAAGAATTGAAATCAGAGCTCAAAATATGATTACATATCTATACACGGTTATTTGTTAACAACCTCGCAGGACTGTATACCTACATCATAAGTAACAACTTTTGTTCCATGTCTTTTATTAAAAGACATGGAACAAATTCATCATTATTTTACTTTCATACAAAAATAAATATATTTAAATAGATTGCTCTAGAAGGTGATACCTCTGTGCAGGACAGAGGTGGGTGTCGTCGCGGAGGACGCTTGCACGTTTGAATTTATCTTACTGCCAAATATAAATCTAAAAAGTGTCAGGTAGTAGAAAGACAGATAGATATATTCAGCACAAATACAAACAGAAACAAAATCACATAGAACATACATTATTAATTTAATACACATTTATATAAAACACATACTGTGCTAAAAACAATTTAAAAACTATGTAAAAACATTATCCGGTGACGGCACGAACAAGTCGTGCGCCTGATGGTAAGCCACACGCCTGTCCATAACAGTTTCAGTGCCACTCAAAGCTTTAAATCGCAAAGATCTGAAGGACACTGCGCCCGTTACCCTGAGACATAAGTTGACAAGTCCCATGTACCTGTAATTTCACCAGCACCCTTACCCTTCCAAACCGGAACGTAGCAACGCTCATACTACTGCTTGGTGGGAGAAATAGCAGTTTACAATGAGCAGTAGCCATTAAATACAAATACTATGAGAATTAACAAAATTTTATGTATGACTCCAGTTTGTGCTGAAATGGCCCTGACTCAGCACAAATACTGTAGACCGTGAAAAGTCAAACAGCTGATTTTTTGCCAGTACCATATGGTGAGCGATCGCAACCCTGTAAGCCATGCCGCCAAATATAACAATATTATGTATCAAGTAAAAATGTAAAGCAAAATAATGTATGTAGTGTAAGTAATGCAAGTCATGTAAATAAGTAATATAAATAATAATGTAAGTTATTGTTACAACATAGATAATATTAAATTGTAACTATAGCTACCAAATGTTTATTCGGAAAATCAGATTTTTACATTTTTAGGTTTCTTGGTGTGAAACCCATCAATTAAGGAAATATGTATGACTAGCTATATACCTGTTCAGATAAAAGATGTTTTTTTTTATATATTCACGCTTTTATTATGAGTACAAGAAAAGCTTAAAAGTTTATTTTTGGTAAATTAATTATGTTTTGTAAAATGGTCACGGAACAAAAGGTTGTTGTTTATGATGTTAGTAATATAGTCCAGGGAGGTTGTCAGTATTTTCAAAATAATCCTGTATACTTAGAATAATAACGCATAGAAACCTAGTCCGCACACGCTAAGTGAGGCAAATTGAAGCGCGCCGAAAGGGCCTATACGAGCGGGCGGGCCTTCGGTGCTCAAGGTCAACTTGCACCGCGAACAGATCAAGAATTTTAGCTAAAAATGACGAAATGTGCGGTAAATGAGTGTAAAAATACGTCAGACAAACATAAAATAGATACTAACATCACATTCCCCAAGGAAGTAACGCGTTTCAACTTGTATTTTTATGTAAATATTCACTAAAACCGAAAATTAACCTACTACTAAAACTAGCCTACATGAATTTGATTTTTGCCTCACTTGTGACAGTTCGTTTGATATGAAACTATCATTCTATGCGTTATTATTCTAAGCCTGTATGGTAAAAAACACAAATTCATGTCAAGTATTACAAAATTATTTTATATTTTTGTTACAGAAAAGACGTGAATTTAAATGAAAGTAAATAAATTCCAAGTGCTACAAAAGGTGGAACTAATTTGCATAAGGGGTCTTGAAAATTTGTTTATCCCTTGCAAATTTTTCGACAGCTTTTAAAAGAAATGTTCGTATTCAGCACACAATTGTTTATTGTATTTATGAGTACATCGTTACAGAAAGGTATATTTTACATAGTTAATTCTTAAGAATACATTGTGTTGTACATGGACTAATAATAATCTCTCCTCTGAGAAGAATGGTTAAAACTGTAGTATATTCTATTACATTTATCATTCTCAATATTATTTAAAAAAAATTATATATAGTTCATTTGGCATCGCTGCAAAGATTCCGAGACAGCCCAGGTTTCGACGGAATCAAAGCCTTTTCATAGTCCACACAGGGACCGATTATACTCTTCTGACTTCTGTATAATCTGCCTCACTGTGTGTATGTGATCTATGGTGCCGTATCTCCGTCGAAATACGGCCTGCTCCGGTGGCTGAAACTTGTCGAGTCTTCTGGCGAGACGATTCGTAATGACTCTAAAAAACAGCTTATAGACGTGGCTCTGGAGTGAGTTCTCCCACATTAAATGACGGAGTTAAACAAGTTCTGTAGTACCTTGATGACTAGAACTCCTCCGAATATCAGAAGTTCTGAAGTAACTCCGTCTTCAACGGGGGCTTTTCCATTTTTGAGCTGTTTTAGAGCCAATTCGATCTCGTCTTGGCTGATATCTGGTAGGCCGTAAGCGAGCATCTCCGGCTTCGACGTTATAGTTCGACCATCGTGTGTTAATATAAGCCTTGCTCGTTCTAAGCTGCCGAGGGAACACTTTGGACCCTCGGTTTCGTTCTATTGTCTCCTCAATGAGGCGTGTACTGCAGTTCCGAAGGTCACGACGTACCATCTTCGCAATCTTCTTGTTGAGGTCTGATAGTCGTTTAGTCACTAACCGAAGAGTCTCATTCGAGAGTTTGAACTTCGTACCTGCACGCTGCAATCGACAAAATTTGATGCTCTCTGACCTCAATGTTTCAACCACGTTTTGCAGGGTCTCGTCGACGTCATCAGCGGGATCCTATTGAACGAATCTTTGCACGAGAAGTTTCTGAAATTTACCGACGCCCACCATGATCTGGAGTGTATTAGGCCGGAGCGTGGACTTCATCAAGCCGCGTCTTTCCAGTTTGAGATCGATATTCAGAGAGCCTCGTACGAGTCGGTGATCAGATCCTGTATTAAACCTGCTGCTCACGGAGATGTCTCTGAATATGTGTCGTTTATCCACCATGATGAAGTCAATCTCTACTTTCTTTGAGTCTTCTTCTTAAAGAACGAATTCATCAAGAAGAAGCGGTCCCTCTCGAGGAAGTTGATCAGCATCTGCCCCCTGTGATTCCTACTTCCAAAACCACGTAGGCCTATTCGAGATAAAGTCCCCCATAACAAAAGTGAAGTGGGCCTTGGTGGTGTTGTGTAAGACTTTTGATATATCCTCGTACATACCTTCCACTTCGTCATCTAAATGTATCGAAGTCGGCGTGTAGACCTGTACAATCTTCAAGCTATACTTTTTTGATAGCCGAAGTATAAGATACGCTACCCTGGTCGACACACTTAGAGATCTCCTCAACGTTGCTAGAGGAGGCCCTGAAGACAAGGAATCCTACGCCACCTTGGGATGGTTGATCACCTGATGGCCCGAGTTCAGGGTTATGGTATCCTCTCCCTCTCTTCGAACTTCGCATAGCCCTAGAACATGCCACCTTATGTTCTCTAGCGCCGCTTCCAACTGTGCTAGGTGCTCATTGAGCCTCAGAGTTTGTCTATTAAACGATGCCAGGGTCAGTTGTTTTAGATAGCCTGAGGTAGCCCGGGGATTCTTAGTACCATGGCCGCTATCGTGACCAGGAATAGCTAGGCGGCCGGGAACTGGGGGCCTTTCCTGTGTTGTTTATTCATTTGTGGGGTCTATGCCCATAATCTCCACGCTGGGCATGCGGGTTGAAGATCGCAGGGCACAGTGTTGCTGCCCGGTAGTGGCCAGTAATTTTTTTTTATGTGATTATGGGAATGCCTATACCACCATCGACCGGTTACCTGAGCCTCGTTAGGTACTACAGGATGTGATCCACGTGCAGGTGAGGTTGACATTAAGAGCTTAGGTGGTGATTGCTCCCTTACATCCCATGTGTAAACCGCTCTAAATAATGCCTATTCACTCTCTATGTGAAAAAGCCTAAGCTACAGTGTTCAGAGAATAAATCTGCAGTTAAGGAATTCCACCCCATATCTGTAAAATAATATGTGGAAGCGTAACGCTTCGTTCTAATCTTTGGAATATTCACTACAGCAACCGCAACTTACGTCGAGTTCCCTGATGATGGAAAGGGGAAGGCGGAAGTAAATCGTGCAATTCCCTCGTACACTCTCCGTGACATATTCTGTAGTATACCGGTAAGCAGGCAACTTTACGGCGGCGTTCGAAACTTTGCAACTTCACCTCACTTATTCCGAGTCACTAATCCAAGCCTCTTGGCATGTTTTTCAACTGAATCCAATGTAACCAGTTGGTATTTAGCGTTACCATCCCGTAAATGGCAGTAGTACATATGTACACGATTGGACTTGTACATGGCACTTCTAATTTTAACTGCATAAAACCTTCCACATAAAATTTTTGTTTCACGATTGTTTTAAACACCGCAAATGGCGAATTATGAACATAAACAACAACCCTGTCAAGAACAGACTGATGTACACCGTTCGTTTTTGAATGGTTTGTTGACTTAGTATTTAATCAATTTCATGATTTCAAATTCAACCCACAAAATTAAGATATTTTAAATTTGATGAACTGTTTATATGACATATTTGTTACTGTGCATGACAGTGTTAATGCACGTATGTTACTCCAACATAACTCAGTGATGTTAAAGCTATTAGACGTCTTAGTTCAATAAACTCTATCGTACGGTCCAGTGGTAATAGTCTCCTAGCAATGGGGTCTTTTTTGTTCATTACACTATTGCTCAAGCGTGGTTTTTACTTTAATATGTAATATGGTAGCTTGTAGGTAGTTTATAAAAACACGGGTATGATTACGATATTATAATTAATCTCGTAACCAACAAGTTCGTGAAAATGAGTAATCAAATAGTAATTGAAAAACTCTCCGGGGTGAGCAATTACACGACACGGAAATTAACCACCCATCGTTCTATAAAACATGAAAAATTGTTTTTATCAATAATATAGGTATACATTTTTTTTATGATACCAACGACACGCCTGTCCATAACAGTTATAATGCCACTAAGAGCGTTAAATCACAAATATCTGAAGGGCATTGCCACTGCGCTCGTCACTCTGAGACACAAGTTGGTAAGTCACACGTGCCTGTAATGTCAGCAGCACCCTTACCCTTCAAAACCGGAACGCAGTAATGGTCACATTACAGCTTGGCGGCAGAAATAGGTAACGTGGCAGTGCTTCCTTGGACGAACTCTTTCACAAGGAGCTCTATTTTGGACAAAAATTACTTTTAATTCATTCACGGACACCGCGAATACGGAATTAGGTATAATTCCATACTTATTACAAATTTCGATATATACGAAAAAGAAGCAACTCCATAACAATATCCAACTTGCAATTCTGTGGATTCTCGGCCTGGGAATTGAACCCGGGACCTCTGCGTGACAGACCAAGCCCTGTGCTCTCATTCTCCGTCCGACATTCGTCCGAAACAATTACTGTCAAATATATAAGGTTATAAGGCTATAAGGCTGTAAGGCTAAAAGGCTATAAGGCTATAAGGTTATAAGGCTATAAGGCCTAAATGCATGTTCCGCTTCAATTTTATGAAGGTCGATTCAAGTGCATTGGATGATTTTTTATCGATTTATTTCAATGCGTGTTTCAAGCTAAGCGATTGAATAAAATAGCAAATCAAATAGAATAAATAATTTTTGTAATAATGTCATTAAATTTGAAGAAAACTGGACTTACAACAAATATTTAGTTGTAATTAGTTTTTGCCCTCGATTCCGAGCGTGAATGGGTTTTAACTAAGGTAAACGATTCTTTTATATATCTAAACTGCTTCTGTGGCCGAACGACTACTATACTGGTCTGCCACGCAGAGGTGGCGGGTTCGATTCTCGGAGCGGGAGAGATATTTGTATGTCCTATTTATTTTTCTTGTGAGTTTGGGTATAAATTGTGGTTGTCTATGTGTGTGTCCATGGCACTCGCGACCCAGGGTTTCCCTAGTGTGGGGCTATGTTGAGTGTGTGTGTTATTATTACTATTATTATATTTTATGGGGAACTGTATGAGTTTTTGCAATAAGATTCCGGAGCATATATTAAGATTACCATTTCCTAAGTTTAAAACTTACATTAAAAGTATTTTAATTGAAAAGTCATATTACAAAATTGTGGACTACGTGTTAGATAAAGATGTATGGAAAGACACTCCGTCTAGATTCCATATGACTCAAAATGTATTCCATTTAAATTCAATGAAATCTGCTCAGTGAACGAGCAGTAAGTAGCTTAAAAAAATGACGTTTTCGAGTGTAAAAAATTTCACCTATGGAATTAATTATTATTTTTCTTTTACTTAACCCGATTTAAACTCGGCGTTAACAAAGCGCCGGGTTAAAACCCGAGCGCTTGCCTATCTCTGCTTCCAGCCAACCCCAGGCTGTGAGAGTAAAAGTCATAAGCGGACAAAACTGTGCAAGATAGAAAAACGGAAAAATGTTACAAATATAAACGAGTATTTTTAACCGACTTCAAAGAAGGAGGAGGTTATCAATTCGTCTGTATGTTTTTTTTTGTTGTATGTTACGCGATAACTCCGGTATTTGTGAATCGATTTTCATGATTCTTTTTTTGTTCGAAAGGGGGTACTTCCATAGTGGTTCTATTTCATTTTGAAGAAAATCGTCCACCTCGAAGGGTGGCTGTTCACGCATGAAGATTCATTTTTATAAATAGCGCCTAACTTTAATTTAGGAGCAATTACTTTAATGGTTGATTTTGCTATTTCTCCAATTCAAGGCGTTTTTCTCTCAATATACTTTGAGTAGTGAGAACCGATTTTTATTATCTCCAGTGTCAAGTCCTGTATAGTGTTATAGGGGATATTTCAATAACACTTGGCAAATAGACGTAATTCCACGTACTTTTGGGGTCGGTTTTTTTAGTACTCTGTACTGAGATTATAAATATTATTATTCTCGTTTGCTTATTATGACAATAAAAGAGGTTTTCATCGCAAAAGTGGTGTAACCCATTATTTTTTTCTACAAGATTACTTGTAATGATGCTAAAGTACATAATTATTTAATATTTGAATACTATTTCCATGTATAAAAAAATATATTCTCAATACTTACGCCAAATCGATCTCTCTCCATTGAAGACGAGGTACTCCTCTGTAGTACTAGCGTGCCCTTCATCCAAAGCGAAGCCAACATTCAGCTTCTTGAATCCATCGGTCTTTACAAACTCGCCCATGCCTTGGCGGCCGCCTACTTCCTCATCTGGATGGAACATCAGAAAATTATTATGTAAACAAAAACGATCTTATTCTTCCACAAAACGTTTACGTAGCAAGACAGATTAATCGCGCGTTGAAATCAATAAACTGCCTCCGTGGGCGAATGGTTACCATGCTGTTCTTCCACCTGCCCGGGTTTGATTCCCGGACCGGAAGAACTATTTGTATGGCCTACATTATTTTCTCTCAAGAGTTTGGGTGTAATTTATGGTTGTTTATGTGTGTGTCTATGGCACCCGCGATTCAGGGTTTTCCTAGTGCGGGGTTATGAGTGTGCGCGCGTTATTATTATTATTATTGGTCTGAAGGCCCAACATAAAACTATCAAAGTTAATTTATACAATTCAAACATTATTTGCGTAACTTGAACACTTATGGCACCCACGATAAAGGGTTTCCCTTGTGGGGCTATGAGTGTGTAAAACAAAAACTATAAGAAAGCGGAAGTGACTCATATTTTTCCACTAACCAGGAACAAAAGATAGATGCACAGTCCTCTTCAATCTGATACCCTGATTCTTAAGGCGACGAATAGCCTCTATGAACTGCACTCCCACTGACTTCATGTCCTGCACGCCGCGCCCATAGATTACGCCATCTTCGATCTCCGCTGCGAATGGCGGATGTTTCCAGCTTTTCTACACAAGATCGGAATAATAAAATTGAATAAGTATATACCGGCTTGCAATTATGGCAAAATTATGTATATTTCACGTAATATATACGTGAAATTTTATAACAGTCCTATTTAAGCATAAAAATTAACCCTTCGTTAACTGCCTCCGTGGCCGAGCGATTACCAATGTGGAGAGCCACGCAGAGGGTCGAACCCGGGCCGGGAGAAATATTTGTATGGCCTACATTTATTTCTATCGTGAGTTTGGGTGTAATTTGTGGTTGTCTATGTGTACATAGCACCAGCGATACAGGGTTTCCCTAGTGCGGGGCTATGAGTGTGTGCGTTATTGTTATTGTTGTTCTCTCCTGAAAATTTGTCATTTTGCAGATGTACTCTTATTACACTAAGGATGCGGTGGTTCTGTTCATATTGAGCAATGTAGCAATGCAATGTTACATTTTTAATTTTCGGCATGCTCACAAGATGACGCTCAATGAACTACAAAAGTTAACCGTCTAATACAACCCACAGAGTATGGTGAAGCAATATTTATTGGCAGTGTTAAATTAGTACTTGATAGCTGTTACTAAATTGTTAGAACTTTATAAAGAGAGTCATTACATTTATCGAGACTCAATCGCATTAGGCTGTGAGAAAAAACTTTTATGTCCATGTAGGCAATGGGAGCGAAAAAGACGTTGTGTCTTTTCGCATTAGCGCTCTTATTACACACAAAACTATTCCTAACCGGCACTAGCCATTAGCGCGCTTTACACAGACACTCTATCACGCGAGATACAGTAATCAAACAACGAAAGAAAAAGAAAAGACCGCGCGATTACGCTGTTCAGTCGCGCGTGCAATCGCACACTCCAACACGCGCCATTTTCACCCGGTCAATCCTGCGCTATTAGCCTTTACACAGACGCTCTTTACGTTGTAACAATAACGAACACGAGCAGTCACGCATGAAAGAACATTAGCCTAAAAAATTCAAATAGGCAATCGCACATGATTACGCGTGCTGGTTTTCCCACGCACAATTTTGATCACAGAGTCCCTGGAAGGGTGGCCGATTTTTTTTTATACAAATGTAAGTGCGCATTTGAGCTCCATCTCACCTGATGGAAAGTAACGATTAGGTCGACGATGGAGCATACACACCTAAATAATGCCTATTCACTCTCGCCTTGAAAAGACCCAAGTTATAACGTTCAGGGAACAAGTCTAGGCAGGGAATTTCACTCCATAGCCATTCGCATTATGAATGTGGAAGCATAACGCTCCATGCGAATCTTTGCAATATCCACAACGTAGGGGTGAAATCCAAGCCTACGTCCAGTCCTCCGATGATGGAAAGGGGAAGACGGAATTAAATCATGTAATTCCGTCACACACTCTCCGTGATATATCCTGTAAAATACCGATAAGCAGGCACCTATACCGCGGTGTTCAAGGCTCTGCCGTTTCGCCTCTACTAATTCCGAGTCACCAATAAGTATATCGCACGCTTGTTTATTGAATCCAAGGTGGCCAGTTGGTATGTAGCAGAGCCATCCCAAAAGTGGCAACAGTACTCCATACACGACCGGACTTGTGCTTGATACAGCTGCAACAACTGTCCCGGTGTGAAGTAACGCCAAACCCGAAAGTGTGGATGCCAAGCTTTCTGGTTGCATTTTTGGCTATGGATTCCTTGTATCTGCCGAAGTTCAGATTGGACGACAGATCCATTCCAAGTAGCTGGAGACGGTCGGCTATCGGTATGGATATATCACGAAAAGTCGGAGTCAGCTCAAAGGGACTCTGTTTTGTGGAGACGCCTCCCTAATGGTTACATTTTTAATGATTATATTCATCGTTTATGTTTTCATCTAAACTAGCATATTGTGAGTATTTTTATTTTTTAACTTAAAGCCAACAGTTACCTCAAAGACGGGCACAACGTCCATATGGGAATTAAGTAGGATACTTGGCAAAGTAGGCTCTTGTCCTTCCCATGTCATCACCAGAATAGGCTTCTTGGGCACCGGCTCAAATTCTTGCACTGACAGCCCAAGCTCATTGGCTTGCCCTCGGAGGTGCACCAAGCACTCATCTGGAACAATAGACTAATAATAAAACTCTCTATTTTCGACGAGTCCCATCACAAACTTTTTACCATCAGACGTAACTTCAGCGTGTGAAGTTGTGAAAATAGACGTTAATAATAATATATTTCTTAGATAATTAACTCCAACAGTGATTTATCAATTATTTACTCGTGTGGCTTTCAAATATCGTATGTTTAATGAGAGGTAATGTAAATATGTAAAATATCTATTGTCTTTTGATGTTTGAAAAAAATATATTTGTTGGACGCTGCTACAAATTTACGTCGTCTTATTTTGCAGACCTGTCATTCTAGTCATACAAAATTTTACGGAGTATAGTTCTGCCCTCCTTGTCATCTTAGCTCACGTAGCCGGGGCATCTTTTCATACTTCGGTTCACACCGCGAACTAAGCTAACAGGGCTAACTAAACTAACACAACGATCCCGTTAGCTATGTAAAATATGTCGCCCTTCTGCCGCCCTTCACCCCCGCACGTAACCATAGTCACTACTTACTTATTTTTTTTGCTTAGCTTTGGGTGCAACTACGTGAGCTAAGCTAGCTAGCTAGCTAGCTAATGCATTAGTTAGGTGAGCTTAACTAATGCATTTGCATTTTGGACAAGTTTCGAGACCTATACTTTCTTTTTTCTTTGAAAAATGTCAATTAGGAAGATGTTCATTAACGATAAAACTGAAACCAAATAAGATGTAAATAAATAAATATTAGACAATATCACATACGTTGCACTGATCCCAAAGTAAGTAGCTAAAGCACTTGTGTTATGGAAATCGGAAACAACAACGGTACCACGAACACCCAGATCCGAGACAATATAGAAAAGTTTTCAACACTGACACGGCTGGGGATCGAACTCGGGACCTCAGAGATCGCGACACCATGAAAAGCGGCGTGCGAGCCACTCTACCACCGAAGCCGTCAATGTAAAAAGCCGCTTAAAGAAGATTGTAGATCTTGTTTCACTGATTCCAGATAATTTAATAACTCTGTTTCACTACGAGGAGTAGTAGTGTTAAAACTGAACATCTTTCCTTTTCTCCGCATAGTAAGATATTATACATTTTGACAAAAGATATGAGATTATCCCAAAATCCTTGCTTAATGCCATTATGTATTTGCCTTACCGTAATTAATATTAGGATGAACACTTCGGATGCGAAGATAATTTTGTAAATTGGTCACAGCGGCATCGTCCATGGAGTTGGCAGTCATTTTGAATCCTTAATAAATAAAAAGAGATTATAAATATAACTGAATCTACAGAGATTAGTTGAAAGAAATCCCTTTAGGAGATAGACTTGCGTTTGTAAACTAACGTTTTAAATTCTTTGTTAAAATTTGTTTTGTTGTACAATAAAGTGTTTACAAACATCATCAATCCATTTATAAGTGCCACTACAGGGCTCGGGAATACTCTCAGGCGAGGGCTTAGGCCTTAGTCCGCTACGTTGCTGGCCAAATGAGGGTTGGGGTCTTTGTACGTTTTCCGAGAGAAACTTCTTCGACGTGTAGATTTCATCACGTGTTTTGTCAAATAAACCAAAGTTTCGGGCTCTTTACAGTATCCATGGTCACGACTGATTATGAAAATAGAATATAAATTTATTTTCCGAATCCACCAACACCTACTCACGAACCTGACAAGTGTTACAAACGACGAAACGTTTTATAGCCAACTAAAAGTCCTTTTACTGGAGTTTCTTTTGAAACAATTGTAATTTTGTTTTACTTGACTTCGTTGTATTTCGGCAGGCTGTAGTTATACTACTTCATTTTATATTAATTATTCGTTAACATCATGCTGGACTGCCACGCAGAGGTTCCGATTTTGATTCTACTAAAATATTTTTATGGGCTACATTTATTTCTCTCGTGAGTTTGGATGTAATTTGTGGTTGTCTATGTGTGTGTCCATATCACCCGCGATACAGGGTTTCCCTAGTGTGGGGCTATGAGTGTGTACGTTATTATTATTAATTGTTTGTATATTGTTTTGTTTGTATAGCCTTGACATTGTATTTTTATTATAATATTGTGACATTGATTACATGAAATAAATGATAATTATTAATACAAAGATCGAACACTCAGAAAAAATTCCTCGGATACGAACCGACGTCTTCTAGCATACCGTGTCAGATGCTATACCAACTAAGCCACGGAACGAACCAGCACACTTCTCGAATTTTTCTGTCGTGTCTTTTGTATTTGGTTTTTTCGACGACTTTTTAGCCGTAGTGCCATCTATGAGAAATCTTAAATACTTCGTCACCCTGTAAGATACCTTTACAGCTACCAGCCCTGGCTAGAGATGTCGCTATTCATTGTATTAAAATTTTTATTGAATTTATCTTATTTATTCATTTGCATTGGTAGACACGTTACGTTTAAAATGTTACAGCACCCCAGTAAAGATAATAACAAATGATAAGTCTTATAAACTCAAATTAAAATTAATAATACAATTTGAATAAAAAAAATAAAATTAAAAATACGATTTCGATAAAGAATTAAAATTATTAACTATACAATTTGAATACATGTTAACGGTATACATACGGGAAGCAATATTACTTTTCAATTATTATTAATATTCAATTATTTTTTATGTGAAATTACTCCACTAGTTTGTAATAATTAGTGGAGTAACTTCACATAAAAAATAATTGAACATTAATTCAATAAAAATTTAAATTAAATAAATGATTCTATTCTTCTATGAATTTTAAGTTAATTTCATTTAACGTTAAAATAAATCCAGGTATCAATTCTATTCTATTCTATGTGTACTAACTATATTAGTCCATAGCAATGCGCGTTCGGAAACGGACGTGTCACGACGAAGTGAGTTAATTACACCTAACTCGTGCTTCGAGCGGCACAAGCCGCTGCGCGTAATTGACAATGAGTTCCCAGCAACCCATTGCCAATGAGCTCCTGGCGTTCATTATACACGCTATCGACACCATGGATGAAGTCAGCATAGTGCAGATATGCAAATCAAATTACAGTGAAGATGAGATTTGCAGTGGCAAGATGCTACTTTTCCAGCGTCTCGGTAAAGCCGAAGAGATGCCATCTCGCCGGAGGGATGGAGGCGTGAAGAGTCTCCAAGACATAATCACGCTGCTGAAGGAGACTGACCCGGACGACGTGCCTACATTCGTGGCGAAGGAGCTGCACAAGCTGCCCCCCGTCACGTTCGACCACGTCGATGTTACTAGGCTGCTGAAGGACATTACGTCCCTGAAGTCCAGCGTAGCCGAAGTACAGTGTAAATTAGAGGCTTCGGATAACATCATAAGTGAGCTGCGTACCCAAGTTGCGTTATTAAGCAATGCTGTTTCGGTATGTAGGTCACCAGAAGCCTCTAATGTAAACACACGACGCGGAGCAGCGCTGAATGCCTCGGTCAGCAGTTTCGAGTCGGCACACAGTGTGTCACCATTCGTTGCTGCCACCGCGCATGATGCGCCGCGCCCCGCTGCCCGCCCCTCTGCCTCGGTGGAAATGTCACGCGTGTGCACGTCAACCCCGACACGTGCATACGCCGCTGTAGCCGCTGTAGCCGCTGTAGCCGCTTCAACTAGCCGACCCGCCACTTCGAAATTCGAGCGGCGGCAATCGGCTAAGGATAAAAACAATTTCCGTGTGCCTGTCTCTGAAGTTGCAAAACCACAGAGGCAGACGGTCCAGTGCGACGAGGATGGCTTCACAAAGGTGGTGAAGAGGAAGCCCACCAGCCGTAACCAGTGTGGCACAGCTCCGACAGGACCGAACTTCCTGCTGCGTCCGGCCGTACCGACGACGTTGATGTACCTGTCGCGGCTGCATTACTCCACGAAGTCTGAGGAGATAGTGGAGTATATCAGGCATAAAACCAAATACACCCTGAGGGTCGAGCGGTTGGAGTCTCGCCGCAACGTGAACTTCAATTTGTTTGTGGTGAGAATACCGACCGAACATCTTTCGACCTTCATGAAAGAGGAATTTTGGCCGAAGGGTGTCATATATCGGCGATTCCGCGGCCGGTTACCTGACACCAGATTGCGCCACACGTCGCCGATAAGGGAAATCGTGTAGATTAGTTTTTTTATTATTATATTGTATGTATGTTTGTTTTAAGGTATATATAATATAGGTGTATTTTGTTTTTTTTTTTTTATATTGTTATGTATGTTAGTCTATAAGGTATGTATACATGGGTCTTTGTTACCTGATATAAATAAATAAAAAAATAAAATAAAAAAAAAACTCTGAATTTATTATACGAAGCAAAACTGCATACTAACTGAATTCAAATAATCACATTTTTAAATAATTTAAATTACTATAAGAATTAAAACACACTGTAACTTCTTCAGCGTCAAATAAGTTTAAAAAAAAACTTCAAAAACCCTAATAAAAAAGATCTGATCTGAAAGAAAGACACTTCGCTACTAATTCGCTACGGGTGGTGCATTCAGCGGTGCGTTCAAAGTTTGCGCGTACATTGCGTGCATACGTGTGTTTGTGTTAGATACACCATCCAACAAACGACACAATGTACGCGCAAACCTTGAACGCGCCGCGGACTGCACTACAACGTTCTGAAATTACGGCCTTAGAAAAATTTGTAAGGTCTGACAAACGCACTCGATCTGTAGTTCAGTTGGTAGAGCGGTGGCCCTGGTTTGGCACAAACACAGGTTCGAATCCTGTCCGGTCGAAGGACTTTTTCTTTGTGTTCGATCTTTGTATTAATAATTATAACAAACTAGTGCAGTAATTTCACAAAAAATAAAATCACAATTCAATAAAAAACAATATTGAAACTTCAATGTGTAAAATAGACTTACCTTGAAATAATAACAATTCCAATTGAGTGTAAAAGTGGAATACAAGCTCGTTTATATTCAATTTATGGAAACCACAAAAAGGTCGATGCTTAGAAGAGAGAAATGGGCGAAGTTGGAACAGTTATTGTTCTGTTATTTTCGTAGGGCGTCGATTTCTGCTATAAATAAGTTGGAAAGTCACTTCAACTATCATTATCAAAGAACATACATTACGTATTTGTATGTGTACATTGTATTTGGAATATCAGATTACATTTTGGCATATTTTTTGTTGCCCGATGTCTTAGAGCGATGACACAAGGGCGTTGCGTAACCGCAACGCTACGATTTCAACGTACTAAGTTGCTTGCGATGGTGTGCCGTTTCAACGGAGCAACGCCGACGCAACGCTCGTGTGGCATCGCATCGTTTTCCTCACTGAGGCAATTTAGTGAAGCTGCTTGTGTGTTAAACTGTTTTCGAAGAGACCTTTGCTGGAAGTGTGTGCGTTCTTTTGCTGGGTATACATCGGTCCCCTGATTCCAAATGTAAGGCTCGCCGAACACCAGACGAGCCTTCCATCTCCAGTCCGCTACCTAGGCTACATGGGGGCCAGGACAACATCCCCTCAACTGTGAATGTTCAGTGGATGCTCCACCGCGGCGGATCTGTTGGAATCCGAACCTCCTTCCCGCGCTCATCCGCGCGGACCTGCTCGACCCGGACCTGGGCCTTGATTTTAATTCAAATCTGAATAGATCCGATCGCGTAGCCCATCTGCAATATTATACGCATCGACTCTGAAAAGACGCAGTTTTCGATCCAGAGAGGTAATCAAAATCAAGCTGCAAGACCAAGACGAGCCCGCGCGGAACGCTCTCCTCTTCGGGTCAGCTTAGCTCCATCGGCCAGCCCGTGGTTTCCTTTTAGCTTCACCGTGGGATGAAATCGACCACGGCTACTGAGCGCCCCCGCCACGGCAAGGCAGCAACCCATTCGGGGGTTAACCCTAATACAACTAACTTGCCATCAGGTTAGGATCGCGAACAGTTCGAAGTAGGCACAAAAAATAGTGTTTTTTATTTACTATGCCTGGCCACCTGTATTTACTCTTTTGTTGACCTATTTATTGTTGTGGGTTAGTTACTAACCAATATAAGTTATCTAAAAACCCTGTTTTGTCTATTATATATAAAGTGTTCTTTTATAATTTAAACAGTATGGGGAAATCCGAAGCCATAGAAGATACAGGGGAAGTATCTTAGGAACGATTAAGTCTTCTTTATGAAAACAATTTTGGCGTAGTCACATTTTTAGTCACGCTTTAGTTATCCATAAAAATGAATAAAATGGATAAACATTGAATAGTCAACACAAAAAAAGACTTAATGGTTCTTATCCCTGTATCTTCTA